GGGGCAGCCAGGGAGAAGAAAGAGGTAATTTATAAAGATAAACCCATTAGATTATCCTCGGACTTCTCAGCGCAAATCTTACAAGCCAGAAAGGAATGGAATCAAATATTTAAACTACTTAGTGAAAGGAACTACCAGCCTAGAATAATGTATCCAGCTAAGCTCTTCTTTCGATATGAAGGAGAAATAAAGAACTTCCCACACATACAAAAATTGAGGAAATTCTCCACTACGAGGCCTGTACTTCGAGGAAATTCGGAAAGGGATCAGTTCACCTAAAACAAAATAACAACAGAAAAACGTAATTAGAAGTAAAGTGACTATCAAGCAAACAGAAGCAGGGGAGTGCAATCTTTACTAAGAACAAGGCATTATAAGCTTAAATAATAGTAATAAGAGAATTGCTATAGCAAGATAATAATGAACTTTCAGCATACATAGAAACAAATTGAGATAACACTGACTTAAAAGAGGATTCAAAGATCCAAATTCGCAAAGGGGAAAGGAGACAAGGCACACAGAGAAGAAAATGGACAACTGTATATATATAACGATCTTTTTCATATTTGTAATGGTAACCACATACCATAGAGTCAGAACTGAAGTATATAACATAACAAAAGAAGAATTAGAGACAAAACCCACAAAAGCCAACCAAAATAAAGAAAACAGAAGCGCAAGGACAAGGAAGCAATGGAAACACCGAGCTACCAGAAAGCAAAAGATAAAATGACTATAAGAAGACCTTATATTTCAATAATCCCCCTAAATGTAAATGGACTGAACTCACCAATATAAAGGCGCAGAGTTGCAGAATGGTTCAAGAAGCAAAACCAAACCATGTGCTGCCTTCAGGAGACACATCTTGGCACCAAAGACAAAAAATAGACTCAAAGTGAAAAGTTGGAAAATGATATTTCAAGCAAATGGCATTCAGAGAAAAGCAGAAGTAGCAGTGCTAATATTGGATGAAATAGGCTTCAAACTAAAAAAGGTAAAGAAAGATACTGAGGGACACT